CTGGAATTCTGAATATATTTAGATTCTAGCAGGATTTGCTGGTGGATAAGGAATAAGTGAGAGGAGTAAAGGATGGCTCCAACGTTGTATGAAAGAGATGTATGTAAGTCACTGTTAAAATCAGATCCTGTCTTAAATATATCAAGATAGAACTTGTACCTTGTAGCCCATTACCGCACCCAATGTTCTGTCCCAGAAAGAAATGTGCTAGAAATTTCACTATCAGATATTAACTTGTCAAAGTTCTAAATGTAAGTCCTCCTGGGAGGAATACACATTAAATGTGAGTTTCATTCGTTTGCTCACATATTATTCATTCCACAAATACTTGAGTGCAGTGCCTGAAACTTTGTGCCTGATACAACTGTGAGCATCACTGTCGTGGTTCCTGCTCGCATGCAACAGTTGTCTAGTGGGGAGAAACTGACATAAACATAACAAACTGTGAACAGAGTTCTGTGGGGAAATAGTGCCACGAATGCCCTGACCTAGCCTGATGAGTTAGGAAAAGGATCACTTGGAGAAGTGTAATTTAAGGCATTTTTCAAACTGCAGGTGATGATCCATTAGTAAAGCATGATCATAATACTTTTTAAAACAAAGTATGTTAGAATAAAAAATATCAGAATGTTATCACATATGGAAAGCATAAGTCGTTTTTATCAAACATTTGTTTCAGTTATTTGTATATGTGTGTGTGTGTGTATATATATATATATATACACAATGATCTAGTACACATATACATTTTACGTGTATATATGTATGCAATGATCTAATATACATATACATTTTATGTGTATGTATATTAGATCATTGTATCATTAAGTGTGACCCTGAAAGGAAACAGTTGTCAGAGTTGAAAACTTAATAAAGGATCTGTTTACAAATGTAAAGCAGGAGTAAAGGCCGAGCATGGTGGCTCATGCCTGTAATCCCAGCACTTTGGGAAGCCGAGGTGGGTGGATCATTTGAGGTCGGGAGTTCAAGACCAGGTTGGCCAACATAGCGAAACCCTGTCTCTACTAAAAATACAAAGTTACGCGGCTGTGTGCCTATAGTCCCAGCTACTCAGGAGGCTGAGGTATGAGAATCGCTTGAACCTGTGAGGCAGAGGTTTCAGTGAGCCAAGATTGTGCCACTGCACTCCAGCCTGCATGACAGAGTGAGACACTGTCTCAAAAAAAAAAAAAAAAAAAAAAAAAAAAAAAAAAAGGTAAAGCAAGAGTGAAGCTACAAGGGATGATGGAGTCTCCCCGGACCTAGGAAAGAAATAGTTACCTAAGCCCAGAGAGAAGTTTCGAGAGAATTACCTGACAGGTGCCGTGTCCTTTGATAGAGGAACATAATCAACCAATGATATTCTGGCAGGGAAGGAGCAGGGAGAATACATGCCTGATCTCTCTTCCCTACACTGATTCTCTTTCTGGAATCTCCCTTGGATATACTCCCTATGGTTCAGTCTCCCAGAGCACAGAAAATGTTAGAGATTTCACCTAGAAATATGACACAGTTTAAGTTGGTGATGGGTCAGTTGGACTTTACGAGGTGAAGAAGTGAGGAAAGGGGCTGAACTGGAAGGAATAGCATGTGCAAAGACCCTGAGTTGCAAGTGAGCATGAGAACATAGAACTGAAAGAAGCCCATTGAGGCTGGAGCCCAGAGAGCAAGGAAAGGGCAGTTATAGTTAGGTCTAGAAAGGAACAGAAGGGCCCAGATCATTCAGACCTTGTAGACCAAGTTAAGAATTTTGCTCTTTGTCCTAAGGCAACGGGAAACTATTGAAGGGTTCTAGAGAGGGACATAATCAGATTTCAATTTTAAAAGGTCACTCTTTCATTTTAAAAAGATCACTTCCTGCACCTTCCAACAGGACATCTGAAAAAAATTTTTTTAATTAAAAGATCGTTTCTAATTTGGAGGTTGTTGGAGTAATTCAAGCAAAAAAAAGGGGAAAAAGCCAAAACACAGCAACAACTAGGTCCAACTTGGGAGATATGGAAATAGAAGGTAAAATCCGGCCAGGCATGGTGGCTCATGCCTGTAATCCCAGCACTTTGGGAGACCGAGGCAGGTGGATCACCTGAGGTCAGGAGTTCGAGACCAGCCTGGCCAACATGGTGAAACCCTGTCTCTATTGAAAATACAAAAATAAGCTGGATGTGGTGGCGGGCACCTGTAATTCCAGTTACTCAGGAGGCTGAGGAAGGAGAATCGCTTGACTCCAGAGGCAGAGGCTGCAGTGAGCCAAGATTGTGCCACTGCACTCCAGCCTGGGAGACGGAGTAAGACTCCATGACTCCAATCTCAAAAAAAAGAAGGTAAAATCCACAGGCCTTGGTGATGGTTTGGGTTAGGAGGAATGCTGATACCCAGATGAAAAGGTGGTAGGAATGAGTACTGGGTTTCTTGCCTGAGGAATGAGAAGCCAGAACGCAAGAAGGCACTCGATTCTACATAAGCATAGCCCTCTCTTACCCATGTGAAGCACATTTGCCTAAGCCTGAAAGAGTGGAAAACAAAGAAACAGCAACATAATTAGAAGAAAAATATTCTGCTTAATATGCTATTTCCTCCTAAAACTGCCCCTGCATCAGAAATTTGGTTTGTTTGGAGTATTTTTGTCAAATGTACATGATGATTCTATTTTATATGTTTGAATTTTTGCATTTAAGATTTTTGTTGCAAGAGTCATATTTGTACCACCTTTCTCAGAGTTACTTTATTGTGGACGAACTCACACTGGAATCTCACCATTCACTGTCAATTCAGTTAAATGCAAAATTCTCCATAGGTGTTCTCACTGCAAATCTCATTTAAGCAGAAAGGATTTTGGTTTACTGAGGATGGCTCACATCTTGATAGCAGTATTAAACTGATTTGCAGGATTAATAGTTTTTCCAAATGTCATCTCAATTCCTCTAAGTCCATGTGCAGCAAATTCTGTTATCTGGCAGATAAGATGAATTGAGTGATCTAATTAAATATTATAGTGCTCAGAATAATAGAAAAATATCTTATATAGAGATTACCAATTAAAAATCATGATACAGGCCAGGCGTGGTGGCTCATGCTGGTAATCCCAGCACTTTGGGAGACCGAGGCGGGCAGATCATGAGGTCAAGTGATCGAGACCATCTTGGCCAACATGGTGAAACCTCGTCTCTACTAAAAATACAAAAATTAGCTGGGTGTAGTGGCGCACACCTATAATCCCAGCTACTCGGGAGGCTGAGGCAGGAGAATCGCTTGAACCCAGAAGCTGGAGGTTGCAGTGAACTGAGATTGCACCACTGCACACCAGCCCATGCAACAGTGTGAGACTCCATCTCAAAAAAATAAAAAATAAAATACATAAAAATCATGATACAATAAAACATACTAAAACCATATTAAGCATTAATTTACCTTAGGAAGAGACTCAAAGAGTGCATGTATCTTCAGTTTTTTGGTAGACCAGTAATAATAATTAAGTTGACAACTTTTTTTTGTTGTTTTTTGAGACAGTGTTTCACTCTTATTCCCCAAGCTGGAGTGCAATGGTATGATCTCGGGTCACCACAACCTCCACTTCCCAGATTCAAGCGCTTCTCCTGCCTCAGCCTCCTGAGTAGCTGAGATTACAGGCATACACCACCATGCCTGACTAATTTTATATTTTTAGTAGAGATGGGGTTTGTCCATGTTGGCCAAGATGGTTTCAAACTCCTGACCTCAGGCGACCTGCCCGCCTCAGCCTCCCAAAGCGCTGGGATTACCCATGTCTGGCCTAAGCTGACTACTTAATAGACCTGCATTCCGTCATGTCACCTCTGGGACTGCTCCACTCCACAAAAAGAGGTGATAGTCTCAGCTCTTGTAATTCTTTAACTTTCTCTTAATAATATGGTATAGAAATAACTGAAACAGCCGGGCGCGGTGGCTCAAGCCTGTAATCCCAGCACTTTGGGAGGCCGAGGCGGGTGGATCACGAGGTCAAGAGATCGAGACCGTCCTGGTCAACATGGTGAAACCCC